CTGTATGTTAAATTATTTCTGAATAGTAGGTCGATTTCGAAATACTTTTAAATCGTAGAGAATGCATTTCATAGTTTCATAACAATTAAGTTAAAAACTAATGAACTTTGTGCTGACTCGACGATTTGGGAAGTCTTGCGAAATCGAACCTAGTCGGTTTTATTTAGTGGGTGATGGAGAGTTTTGCGAGACGGCAAAAAGGGTGGTCGTCATCGATCGCAAAAAAAAAATTAATTGTGGTTAATAAAATATAAAGCATAAAATAAATACTTATAAATATTTCAGAAAATAAAATAAAGTAAAAAATAAAAATTGTGACTGCTCCGTGACAATGAGGTAAGGACCCCAAATTTTAATATTATTATATCGATTCTTTATTATATCTTTTGCGTCTTTTAATTACGATATTTAATAAAGTGTTTGTTGATTTTTTATACATGGTGTTTCTATTATAACTAGTTTAGTTCTCTATACGGTAATTTAAGTCACCTGAGGTTCATCTTAAGTGGCGTAGATTCCTTTTAAACTAAGAGGTTAATCTGAGCCTTTTGAGATTAACATCGGCTAGAGCGCGCTTAGCGGAAGTGGGTGATTATCTATTTTTACCTCTCAAGCCAAGCGAGGACCCCTAATTACATTAAAAAGAATAATTACCACCCCCTACCCGTTAAGCGTGTAGGGGGTGGTAATTGAGCAGATTCAACTAAAAGTCATCTGCTACAAGGAAACTGCGAGGTCATTTATGTAAAGGTATGGCCTGTGATGTTTGGTCTTTATACAGTCATTTAAACAGATCGGGTTGGTATTCTTCATTATTTAATAGCGCTCTTTAATTAGCAACGGCGAAAAACTACTAGACTAATCCATTTATTCATAATTAAGCCCTTATTTATTGCAAGCATTTAGATTGTGTTTATTTATTAGGTAGACAAAGCTGTCGCATCGGCTGCCGCATTAGAGAGTGAATTAGCTGTTAAATTAAGGAGCATAGTTTGTGCGAGTTTTTTTATCTAAGTTACCAGCACCCAATTTATGAATTCATCAGTTCTTACGTTTACTACGCTTGATTTACACTGCTGTCGCGCTTCAAAATAAATGGCGTGCTTTCTAGAAAATCGCCGGCAACTCCATGACAGTTGTAAGGAAAAAATACATTATACAATAAGAATGCCAACATACTTTGTTAATATAATTTTGAAAGCTTTTTGTGCATTTTAGAGCTTTATGTTAAGTCAATTCCAAATTATAACCATAATAATTTTTTCTAAGAAGACTCTCCCATACTCTCTCAAAATAATTTGGCAACTACGTGCCAGTAAGAGACAATCAACGAAACGAACTAATTAGTAACCAAACAAAATATTAGTTTTATACAATTGTACTTTTTATTTTATTATAAAAAAATGAGCCTAATAAAATAATTTATTTATTGTACAAGTAGGTATATATATATTTTTTGACTTTGGTATGTATAAGTTATAAGTTATAAATAAAAAAAAAAACAAGAAAGAAAATAAACTTTTATTGAAAAAAAAAAATTAGTTTGTTCTCCCTAAAAGAGTAAGTACTATTTTGTAGGAGTAGGTACTTAAAAAATATAATATATATAATACAAAAATACAATATAATTTTTTTGGTTTAACAAAAATATTTAATAAATAGTTACACATCAAGAAAATATGTCGCGCCTATGAATATGCACTCTGCCAAGCGACGCAAGCTACATACATACGTTGGGTTTAGTTCTCTTACTTATTCTATTTGTAACTGCAATAGCGTACGTGTATTATTACAGAGGAAATAAATTCGCCTTTTGGCTGTCAGCGCGGCACGAGACGTAGAGAGTAAGGCAGGTAAAGGTGAATTTTGTTTATCACGGGAGCTCCGGTTTCCTCTTACTGTCAGCTATGTATTACTGAAAGCGATAAGCGAACGCAATAGATACGTTTGGAGTCAAAATTGTGAAATGAAGCTTAAATAAACGATCGCAGCTTTACTTGACATAAGCATGCGCAAAGTAGTTATTTTGCGCATGCTTATGTCACTTTGGCGCACACATTTTTCATTTTTGAGTAGTATTGTAAAAAATTGTCAACTTTGCAAATGGTAATTGATGCGGAAACTCGTATTTCGAATAGTGATCATAGAAAACCATTTCTGCAAACTTGCAATGAAAATGAAAAAGTTCGCTACACCTTTTAGTATTATTTTAAAATAGCTCTCATTATTTTTTAGGATATTTAAAGAACAACTATGCAATATAGCATCATCCGCCCTTCTACTTTTTTTAGTAACGGCAGTATTGGGTATCATTACAGCCTTTTACTTTATTTTAGACGTAAGTAGAAATGTTTGTTATTAAAGTTATTTATGCAGGAATGGTGTCACGAAAAAAGGTCGCGAACATGTGGTCGCGCGAAAAAATGTCGAGCACAAATAAGCGCGTGTCAAAAGGTCGCCGGCGAAAAAAGAGCGCCGATGAAAAAAGGTCGCGAGCAATTGATCGCGCGAAAAAAAGGCGAGTAGGAAAATAGCGCGTAACAATGTTGATATTTTTATTATTATCTTTTATTATCTTTTAATCCCAATGAAAAACAATCATTGGTCTTAAAGTGTTATAATGAGGGCATCGTAATAAGAAAGGTTTGGTAAAATTTAGTATTCATAGATTTGTTTTGAAAATCTTTATATTGCAGGTAACCTTTTAAAGTATGTCTCTAATACCTATTTATTTAAAAAACCGATTTGTTTATTATTACTTTAGATAATTACCAATAAGCATTGGAAAATCAAACTTTCCTTCACACTTTATCCAGGCTTAGGACTGGCAGGTAATATTACCTGGCGTGTTTAGAAGTTTTTTAGTTCTTTTTTAGTTTTTTTAGTATTTTTACTTTTTTCTAGTTTTTGTTGGTTTTTTTTTTTGTATTTTTTTGTTTTTTATATTTTGGGGTTTTTATTTCTGAAGATGAAAGTTATGAGCAATGGCCGTTAAATATTCCAAATTTGGACGATCGCCATATTGTTCACAAATGGATTTTATTCGTTTCGCCATATCTTTATAAATTTTTTTTCGTTGCTGTTCGTTTCCAGCTATATACTGCTCAACTTTCAAACAATTTAAACTCTCCTCTTTTTTAGCGTATTGATAAATTTCCATAAATTTGGATGTGCTGCATTTAATATAGAGGAAAAACTGTTCTGCCATCCCTCCACAGAATTATTTGTACGATGTATATCTTCGTTTATAAATTCAAAGCAAGTCCACAGATTTCTTGAAAATTGCGGTTGTCTCCTCTGGTGTCGTCGATCTAAGCGGCCTATCCATACATCTTCAAAATAATTTATAAATGGCAATAAAGTATCTTCATTTTGCGTGTAAAATTCGCTGTCAAGTAACTCTTCAAACGTTACAACAACATCTTCTTCGGGTAAGAATGCAAGAGCTGCCAGTTGTCGCAGATGTAGAGCAAAATTTGCGTCTTGTGTATAAATACGTTAAAATTCTGCACCTTGCACGTTTCTCCACAAGCATTGCGTAAAGTGAAAGAAGCAGCCACGCACTCTGACTTCAGGAAACTGTTCTTGTATGGCATTAATTGCTGCCCTTTCAAAATTCATCATTATTGTTGCAGGTCGTAAACCAGGTCTTAAGGTTTTTAATTCTTGAAAGAGGCGTGTATATGTCTCGGAAGTCTTATTGGGAAGAAGAGCATATACAGTGGGTACAACATTGATGTACTGTACTCCATGGATTGTATACAGCTGAGCAAATATTAAAGGAGCACACGTAAATGTTCCATCAGCATACCAGTGATCACAGTTCTTCATAAAAGTTAAAGTTTTTTCGGTGGAAAAAATCAAAATTCTGTCTTCGTTTGGGCCACTATCCAATAAAAGAAAAGGTTCGCCATTGCTGCTTATGGTGTATTCTTCTGGAATAACAAGCTCGGATAAATTTCTAGGATTTGCTGGAATAGCTTTCATTTTTTGACGTGTGTGTTGAATAGTCCGCTTTAGGGATGAAATGGAAGGAAATTGCTCAGTTGCACCTAAAGAAATTTCTTGTGAAACAGTAGCTAATATACCTTGTGTTATTAGTTCAACTTGTTGCGCCATTTCTTTTATCTTATTACAAGCTTTCTTTGCTTCTAATTTGGCTGCATCTGCAATATGGTTGTGGCTTGTACTTTTTACTGCTTCATCTCCCACAGTGTGAACTCTTCCGGTACATTTCCACTTATTGTATTGGGCACACTTCCAAATTGTCTTTTCACCTATCACTTTCTCCTTTCTATGGATAAAGCCATTGTACACTAACATATTAGCACCTTTTTAACTGTTTACGTAAATTAGAACCATCTTGACAGAACGACAAATCTAAGAATACTAAATTTTACCAAACCCTTCTTTTACGATGCCCTTATTATAACACTTTAAGACCGTATTTAAAACCAATTAACTAAATTGTGGAATAAATGATTGTTTTTCATTGGGATTAAAAGATTATAATAGAAATATCAACATTAAAGCCTTATTAACAGCTAACGGGGTTGTTTGTAATAAGATTTACTTAGAATAAGTAACCAGCTTATTGGTAATTATCTAAAGTAATAATAAACAAATCGTTTTTTTTTAATAAATAGGTATTAGAGACATACTGTAACGGTTTGGCTCTACGGACGAGAGTAGGTTAGATTGGTAGGTGCTGCGGTGCAATGTGCAATGTGCATGATAACGTCTCCAATTTCCCACGCGACCATCTGGCGGCCACCTGGCATCCGGCCATCTGGCGGCCATATGGTGAACACCTGGCATCCGGTTCTCACGCGAACACCTGCACCCGGCCATCTGGCGAACACATGGCATCCGGCACATTTGGCGACTACCTGCATATGGTGAACACATGGCGGCCATTTGATATCACCCCCTTTCCCCCCCCCCCCACTTTTATTTGCTCTCTATTTAAAGCATCGCTTTATTTTAGCATCTCAGTTACGATGAATACATGTAATAAGTGTGGTAAGAGCTTCACGCGGGCTACTAGTCTTCGCCATCACCAATTAAGTAGATGTGATGAGAACTGTCCAATCCCAAAGAAGAGGATAAGACCTCTCGGTATTGAAGTAATTGATGGTAGTGTTTCAAAACTTACCCATGCTTTTAAAAACAGAATTGCATCATTCCGGATTACCAGTACACATTCAATATCGCATAGTGATTTCCTAGATGATATTAAACCAAAAGTTTTGGGAATTATTAATGACCATCTCCAGAGGTATACGTCATTGAAGATCAACTTTGAATTGTTTGGCATTTATGTAAAACCAGATGCGGAATTATCTGATATCAAGTCCATGAACACCAAAAACGAGATAGTAACAGTTAGTAGTAATTTAAATAAGATTTTTGAAAAATTTAAAGAGGATATAATGGTCCAAGCTTCAGAATTTCAAGAAAAAGACTCGAACTGGTCATTGCAGGAAATACTGTTCCTTGATGTTAATATTAACCGATATAGTGCCATAGCAGCTTCATCATACATACAACTCCCATGGTTTATTAAGAAAAAATGTGCTGCATTAAACATTAAAAACATAGATAATAAGTGCTTCGCTTGGTGTGTGAACGCGGCCATTTTCCCCGCTACCGGTGATCCCGCCAATCCAGAATCGTATCCTCCATATGATTTCGATTTCGATAACATTGAGTTCCCCATTAAATTAAGTGATATTAAAAGATTTGAAAAACTAAACAATATTTCTGTAAATGTGTATGGATTGGACACTTACTTTAAAGGTCCGAAAAAGCAATATGAAGTTGTTGGACCTCTGCATTTTACTTCACAAAGAAAACCAACCCATGTAAATCTACTTCTTCTAATTGGTAATGATCAAAGTCATTACTGTCTTATTACTGACTTGAGTAGACTGGTTAGAAGCCAGAAGACTACACACGAAACTAAACTTCATTTCTGCGATGGGTGTCTCCAATCCTTTAATACGACGGAAAAACTCAGTAGTCATCAGGAAAATGATTGCACTCACGTTTACACCAAACTACCAAGTACGGACTTGAAAATTAATAAGTGCGGTGAACAGCTCCCTGAAAACATCCTTAAGTTTGTAAATATAGAAAAGAAGCTACCGGTCCCATTTGTGATCTATGCGGACTTTGAAAGTTTGTTAATGCCATTACAAGGCGCAGAACCATATGATGGAAAATCTTTTACAACTAGAGTTGCAGAATACGTGCCGTATTCATTTGCCTTTTATGTCAAGTGTAATTATGATGACAGATTATCACAACTAGTAACATATGAAGGCGAAGATGCTGCTCAAATTTTTGTACAAAAACTTGATACTGTTGTACACGATTTATATAATCATCACCTGAAACACGTGAAACCGATGCTTCCATTGACAAAAGAAGAGAAAAAGATACATGAAAACGCTACATTGTGTTATTTGTGCCAAAAATCGTTCAATCTTTCAAACCGAAAGGTCCGAGATCATTACCATTTAACAGGTCAATATAGAGGACCAGCACATAATTCATGTAATATTAATTACAAGATCTCAAATACTATACCAGTGTTCTTCCATAATTTAAGCAACTATGACTATCACCTGTTTATTAAAGAACTATCAACAAAAGGAGAAAGAGTATCGGTCATTGCTCAGACCAAAGAAAAGTATATTTCTTTCTCTAAAGCAATACTAGTTGAAAAAGCAGAAAATAAACATGTATACATGTCTCTGAGATTTGTAGATTCATTTAGATTCCTAGCAAAGTCTCTGGATAATTTAAGCACTACTTTGGATTCCAGCCAGTGTGTGGAAGTTAAAAAACATTTTCCAGACATTAATCAGTTTGAGTTAATGAGGCGTAAAGGAGTCTTTCCATATTCCCACATTGACACCATTGAGAAGCTCAAGGAAAATCAACTACCATCTAAAGATAAATTTTATAACACACTAACAAGTGAGCACATTTCTGATGAGGACTTTGAAAGAGCCCAGGAAGTTTGGGATATATTTAAGTGTCAATCTTTAAGTGATTATGCCATGCTTTATTTAAAGTCAGATGTACTACTATTAGCAGATGTTTTTGAAAACTTTAGGAAAGTTTGTCTTAAAGAATACCATCTTGACCCCTGCCAATACGTTACAGCGCCATCTTTAAGTTGGGATGCTATGTTATATAAAACCAAAATTCAACTGGAGCTATTAACAGATATCGACATGGTGAATTTCTTCAAAAAGGGCATTAGAGGCGGTGTAGCACAATGTAGTAAAAGAGAGGCCGTAGCAAATAATCAATATGTGAGTAACTTTGATCCACAGAAACCAGAAAAATACATAATGTACTTGGATGCTACGAATTTATATGGGTCTGCAATGAGCCAATATCTACCATATGGTGGTTTCAGATGGTTACATAACGAAATCCAAAACTTTGATATAAATATAGATGATGAATCACCACAGGGGTATGTTCTAGAAGTAGATTTGGAATACCCAGCCCATCTACATGATGCTCATAATGATCTACCCTTCTGCCCGGAAAGCATAGCACCACCTAAAAGTAAAATAAAAAAACTAATACCAAATTTATATAACAAAACCAAATACATCATCCACTATAGAAATCTAAAACAATGCCTTCGACATGGTTTAAAACTGAAGAAAATCCATCGTGTGCTGAAGTTCAATCAATCACCATGGCTTAAAAATTACATCGATTTAAATACATCACTTAGAAATAATGCAAAAAACGAATTTGAGAAAGATTTGTTCAAGCTCCTTGTTAACGCCATCTTTGGTAAGACAATGGAAAACATAGAGAAAAGAATAAATGTCCGCCTTTGTACTCGCTGGACAACTAAAACAAGGTCAATTGGAGCAAGAGCACTGATAGCCAAACCAGAATTTAAATCTTGTTCTGTCTTCAATGAGAACTTGGTGGCCGTCCAATTGGGAAAAACCAAAATTATACACGACAAGCCCCTATACGTAGGCTTCTCGATATTGGATATATCAAAAACTGTAATATACAATTTCTATTATGGATATATTAAAAGCAAATACGGAGAAGATGCTACCCTATTGTACACAGATACTGATTCACTGATTCTCGAGATATGCACACCCAACTTCTACGAGAATATGAAAGAAAATTTACATTACTTTGACACCTCCAACTACCCAGTCGATAACATACATGGTATATCTAAAACAAAGTCTATCCTTGGTAAAATGAAGGATGAATTCGCATCGGCACCAATTAAAAGTTTTTATGGTACAGGCGCCAAAGCTTATTGTGTGGAAGCCAACAAGCTGCTGAAAAAGGCAAAAGGCGTATCCAAGCATATCACCAAACACCAACTCCAGCTGAGTGACTATGTTCGCATTGTAAAAGATGGTGGGACCATATTTAGAAAAATGTATGTTTTTGTTTCTGACATGCATACAATCTATACCGAATTGAGAAACAAGGTAGCTCTCTCTGCAAAAGACGATAAAAGATATGTCATTCCTGGTGATGTAAAAACTCTTGCCTGGGGGCATCTACTCCTTAATCCTCCAGGAACTTTGGATGATTTACTTGCAGCCATGGATGAAATGGATCCAAAACCCATGGAAGATTTGGTTGAGGAGGAGCCAACCCTAGATGATATACCACTAGATGATTTGTTTATTATATCAGATTTTGAATATAATACATATCTGTCAATTTCAAGTAAATAAAACACTCTGTATTAACATATCTTTTTATTTAAAACCTTATACAATTCTAATATTAGAAGTATAGCTGAAAAAGTTGAACATGTTGCAATGTAATAACAACTCGTCCGGGATAATACCAACCTTTTAATTATTTTTGTACAAGACATGACTAATTTGAAACATATTTATGATAATCATATAATCGATATGAATTTCCATCAGTTCAAAGATATCGGTGCTACCTGTTGGAACGATAAGTTCGGCTTTCTGGTAATCGATAAAGACTGTGGAAAATATCGAAAAGGATTCGATTCATATATAAAGCCGTGATAATACAAAATATATTAGTTACAATGTTACAATTGGGAAAAGAACTTCTTCATTCTCGACAAGCTATTAAAAGAAAATTTAAACTTTATAAGCAACAAAGACAAGAGACCCAGAAACAATATCGAGAACAGTTAGAACCACTAGTAAATCCTATCCAAGAATTATTTTCTAAGGCAAAACCTCCAATTATCAAAAAGGAATTAAAAGTTGAAAGCCCCAGCACCCCCCAATCAAAATACTCCAAGATTTTTCCAAATTTAAGTACTCAAATCGAAAGTCATGAATTTGAACCTGTTATTGAACCTGATTTAAATGAAATTTCCACCTTCAATGAGTTACCAAACTTGTATTTAAACAAGTTTCATCCTTTAATTAGAGAATATATAGAAGGAAAAATTAGTGATACCGAAAATGCTTATGACAATACATTTGGTGTTTATTTTAGCCCCGAATTTCGTGATTGGGCTATTGGTGACTCACCTATAATTTTCAAAGAGAGTGGTAACGTAGAAGTCAAAGAAAAAGAATACGAGGGAACTAAAGGTCTTTACGAATTACTTTTTAAGCAAAATCCTATAGAATTTACACCACAGGATTTAAATACTTATATAAATATTATTAAGAAGAGCAATGCACAGTTTTTGGGCTATGATCCATCAAGGGGTTTATCGACTTCAAATGCTAAAAAGTTTGTAGAAATTATTAAACCTATTATTAAAAAAAAAAACACATGAAAAACAGCAGTCAACAATTCTGGAAACACCAAAACGTAATTTAAGAAGTAAAACTTCTAAAACAAACCTCATGGAAAAACATGGAGAAGGTTTAATGGATTTTAATAACAAAAAAGTGGAATACAAATATTTTGATGATTTTAACGAGTTGGTTGACAGACTACGCTTGCTTATGGCGTCTCAAATGGCTGGTAATAATGCACACCACAACGAAATAGTTTCTATCATAGAAGAACTACGGGAAGGTGGAATAATCTTATAAATACATATTAATTTAATCTAACATTCATTTTAAAACATGCCTCTCAACAAGTTCAATCAACATTACCTATCATCTACATCTTCTGATGAAATTGTTTCATCTATCCCAACATCATCATTTTATATTTGTCAACCTTCTAAATATCATAGTAAATGTGTGCTTACTATTCATGGGCATAAAGGTGAATATGGTTTCTATCGACTAGATAATAATACTAGTAAATATAAAATACCAATTACCGGTAAAGTTGAAAACATTCAATGTTATCCAACCAACCTTAGTGTTTTATATAAAACAGAAAGCGATAATATAGAAAAGATATTAAATTCAAATATTATAAATAAGGGTGACATACTTCAATTTTATATAACTTCTACTTCAGATGAACTTTTTGTTGAATTTATAATTCAATGTCCTTTGGAAAAAGATAAATAAAGAAGATTCCTCTTTATAGCATCATTTTAATAATGCCTCTCAACAAGTTTAATCAACACTACCTCTCTAGTGGTGATGATGAGGTTGTTTTATCCCCGCAATTAAATGCTCCGTTTTATTTTTGTGAGTCTTTTGACTATCATGTCAAGTGTCTGCTTCGTTTGAAGGGAGAGAAAAAAACGAGCTTAAATAAAGAATATTACGTGTTGGATAATGGTGGTATTGCTTTTAAGTTTCCTTTATCAGGTAAAATTGATAATGTTGCTCATTACAAAGCTGATGGTGATGTTTTACTAAATCAGCTTAGTTACAAATTTCATGAATTAGTTAATATAAACATTATAAAAGGGGACGTTATTAGATTCAAACTTGGTAAACCTGCTTCCATCTGCATTGAAATAGTACTACAGTGCCCCCTAGTTAAAAATGTCTAAATTGCGAGTTGTTGAAGAACTTCATAAACCAGCTCGAATAAATTATCAAAGACGTCATGTAATCGTGAAAGGTTTAAACGATTTAATTCAAGCCGATTTGGCTATTATGTCGCAGTTTTCAAAAGAAAATGGTGGTTATAACTATATTCTTGTAGTCATTAATGCATTCAGTAAATTTGTGTGGGCACTACCTTTAAAAACAAAAACTGGTAAAGAAATTGTTGTTGCTATGAAAAGTATTTTGAATAAAATGCCCCCGCCTAAAAATCTTCAGACGGACAATGGAACAGAATTCTATAATAAGGAGTTTAATCAATTAATGAAGAAACATGGAATTAACCATTATAGCAGTTTTTCAAATTTGAAAGCAAGCATCGCCGAGAGAGCCATAAGAACTCTAAAGTCTTTATTGTGGAAACAATTCAGTTTACAGGGTTCATATAAATGGGTGAAAATACTTCCTGACATTGTGAATACATACAATAATACGAGACATTCTACAACGGGTGCTATTCCCACCAAAGTTAATCAGAGAAACGCAAAGTATGTTACTGCATTTAACTACTTAAAAACCATTGATAAACGCAAACCTAAATTTAAAGTTGGAGATCATGTTCGAATAAGTAAATATCGTAGTGTCTTTAAAAAAGGATATACTCCCAATTGGACCAATTAAATTTTTACAATTAAAAAAGTAAAATATACAAATCCAACTACATACATTTTGGAAGACATCAAAAATGAAGAAATTAGAGGTGGTTTCTATACTGAAGAATTGCAAAAGGCACAATTTCCCGATATCTATTTAGTTGAAAAAGTTTTAAGGAGAAAGGAAAATAAAGTGTTTGTAAAATGGCTTGGAATGGATAGTTCACATAATTCATGGATTAATAAAAATAATGTTATATAATACTAAAATAAAAAACTTTTTTTAAATATGTATTTTATTTCTTTTTTCTAATACAGGATTAATAATTTTAGCAGTTTCTTCGATTCTTCTTTGGAATCTTGCTCTGTCGACGGCCACAAATTCCCAATATCTGGTCCTACATGAACATTTTGGTTCAATGTAGTGTATTTTTACATGGTCATTAAACTTGATCATTGAAAAGCTCTGGATATCTATAAAGAAGTTCTAGCGCCATACCATATGTGGTTTTATTTATATTCTTTATTGGTTCCATTATCTTGAGACCAGTTTCAATGGGATTGTTGGAATCAATCCCCATCTTCAATATTTTAAGGGTACTATTAAATTTCTCTTTTCTTAAAACTTCCAATTGGTGGTTAATGATGGGGAGTATTTTCCAAAGCGTTGAAATAGAGTTGGCCCCCAAAATAATCTGTGAGTTACTTGTTGAAATTTTAACAGCAGACATGCAGGGTAACTGCATAAATTCTAGTCTATATTTACCATCATCGATTGGTTGTTGGTGGCTACCAGCCATGAAATTATCAATCACAATTTTATGTGATAGAAAGCTGTTCCACTCGGTTTCACTGAACATCACATAATCTTTTTTGTTTCCACTGATGACAACAGTTGGTTCAAACAATAGGTTATATGTTAAACACACCGACACAAACTTTGAGTTGGATGGGTTTAGGTAAAAACGACGCTCACCCAAATACGGTACTGTAGCTTCCATCGTTAAAGACAGATTAATTAATTTTGAATTAATATCATTGTTTCTTCGGTTCTTATATCCATCTCCTCCCCCCCCACTCCTATGATGTCTTTTTATTTTATAAGAGCTTAGAATGTACAAGTCTGAGGTTATTGACATCAACCGGATATTGTCTAGACACCAGATGTTGACAAGAATGAACAAGTCTGGAGATGATTCGCGAGAGACAGGCCTTAGGAGTGGGGGAAGGTGTCACTTTTAAATTATAATTGACAATATAAATAGCGAGCGCATTCTAGAGATAGTCTAGTACCATGTTGGCACCAAAGTTTATCATTTTACATGCGATTCTGGGGAATCTTCTCCTGGTCCAGCAGCCATTCAACGCCAGAGAAGTTTTCATATGTTTTGATAGTAATGGCGTATTGAATGAGACATGGCCTGTGAAATGGTCAAGAATGACAACATACGTGTCAAACAATATTCCAACTCTGCAATCCGAAATACCTAAAAATAGTTCTAGATATAAATTGAATATTGTACATGGTAATGGTAAGGCCGAATATTCCGATTGGTTGCCCCTTAATTCTGTGCCCCAGGAACAACAACCTGAGAAGATATCCGCTATCATATATTACATTGCAACATGTTCAACTTTTTCAGCTATACTTCTAATATTAGAATTGTATAAGGTTTTAAATAAAAAGATATGTTAATACAGAGTGTTTTATTTACTTGAAATTGACAGATATGTATTATATTCAAAATCTGATATAATAAACAAATCATCTAGTGGTATATCATCTAGGGTTGGCTCCTCCTCAACCAAATCTTCCATGGGTTTTGGATCCATTTCATCCATGGCTGCAAGTAAATCATCCAAAGTTCCTGGAGGATTAAGGAGTAGATGCCCCCAGGCAAGAGTTTTTACATCACCAGGAATGACATATCTTTTATCGTCTTTTGCAGAGAGAGCTACCTTGTTTCTCAATTCGGTATAGATTGTATGCATGTCAGAAACAAAAACATACATTTTTCTAAATATGGTCCCACCATCTTTTACAATGCGAACATAGTCACTCAGCTGGAGTTGGTGTTTGGTGATATGCTTGGATACGCCTTTTGCCTTTTTCAGCAGCTTGTTGGCTTCCACACAATAAGCTTTGGCGCCTGTACCATAAAAACTTTTAATTGGTGC